AGAGTGTCTGCCATACTTCTCTAAGAACTTTGAAAAATCAGATTCTTTAATCTCCTGTGGCTGTATGAAATAGTTGAGCTTTGCTAAAGGTTGAAAACAGAAAAAAATAAAAAAATCTGCCAATATCAAATTACTAGAATAGATAGCTCTATGAAAAAGTAAATAAGTAAATAGTGCCAATATTTTTAAAAGTAACAATTCTCGTAAATCTAAGCTAGATAGTGCCTATATTAATTGATCCATAGTAACACTCCTTACAGGCTAATATGAGCTATGAACAGGATGACATAATGAATAATAGTTTGTACTGTTTTGTGGAAAACAAGAATTAACACACAAACGTGAGTTCCCAAAATGCACAAAAACTGCTTAGGACAACTATCCCAGTATGTACTCTAATTTCTGTAAATGCCCAAATTAGACATGCCTGACTTTTTAACAATAAAACACTGCCAAAATGTGAGCTCACTAACAGCAACATTAAATGCATTCAAACTAGTTAAGGTTGGCAAAACTCAAAGTAGGCATGAATAGGGAACTGGCATCCTATAAAAGGCAGACTTTGTGTTGGTATCCCAGAGCGATGCCCCTCCTCACCCAGTGGTTACAATGTTATAATGTATTATGACTGCTAAAACACTACATCGTAAAATGGCAAATTATCAAGTACATGCTATGTAGACTCATCCTAACGAACTTCTTTGAACAAGAAGCACTTTAATACATCCAAATAAAAGATCTTACAAGGTTTGAGGACTACTGACATCAGGAGTCTGTGACAGCATCCTCAATGACAGTAGTACCAACAATAATTTAGATTGTCTAGTAGATTGGAGGGGGTGAGGAGGGTGGAGAAGGAAATCCCCCCATAAAAACCCAAACCTTAAGCTCTCAATGTAATTCCACTGTTCCAGGGCAGATCCTCAGATGTACAGAGCAGCAAGCAGAAATAAAAGCATTTTTATATCTGAATAGTCAAGCAGTTAACTACATCTTTTAAGAACATAAAGGCTGAAGGAATATTAAGTGCCTAGAAGGTGCACAGAGCAGCTTCCTTATTCTTCACTTGAGTGCATAATCATTAGATGAAGAAATAAAACACTGGCAGTGGTGCTACTGAAAACCATTTCTTTTTTTTGTAAATTGCAATGAATACCAGAGAGCTGGACATCAAACCAGTCAAATGAAGCAGAGTGTAGAAAGCAGAAGGAGAAAAAAAGTGTCAACTGCATAGTCTACAGCAGAGAAGAAAGTATGAAAATACTAACTCATCCAAGGTATTATAAGAAGTCACTTTCTTAACAGGATAATAGTGGTGTATTTCCAGTATCAGCCCTCATTTGCTGCCAACTAAACAACGTATCTCAGATCCAGGAGCAACTGACAAAAGGCTGGTTTGTTGGTCCCTGAGCGCAGTGACCTCTGCGCTAGTGAGAGGACCCTGATTCACTGTGACCTCTCTGGAATTGTAGCAGCCCAAACAGTCAGCAACCATTATAACGCGTGAGTTTAAAACCACCCCTAAGCAGCGGCGATGAGGGAGGCAGGTCACTCACGGTCGTGCGGCCGCACGCAGAAGAGCAAACCGCGTCCCCCGGGGTCCGCGACGGTGTCGGTGGGATAAGGGCTGTTACTTCTGAACACCAGGGATCGTTCCACACACACTTGACCGACAGACCTGCCGACACAAGCTCCCTCCCCCAACAAACTGTTAGAGCTGTTCTCGAATACTTCCCCATTCTGCGTTACTAAGCGCCAGGGACAGAGCCCGGCGCTCCCGCTCAGCAGCGCACACGGCTCGTTGCCACCCGCGCCGAGCGGCAGCGACCGGGCCTGTCCCGTCCCTGCAGCGACGGGACTCCATTTCCCTGTCCAGAACCTCTGAAACGGCCCGGGACAAGCAGGGAGCCCAGTGCGGGCGCAGGACGGCAGCTCTCGGCGCTGCCCACGCCCACCGCGGCCCCCGGCAGGCCCTGCCCTCCCCC